CAGGAGCCCTACTTGAGGAGGAAAAGAGAGCCTCCACTCAGCACAGATGTCCCGACAGCCGAAAGAATAAATGTACACTTGGTCTGAAGATGTGCTGTGCGTTAAATCTTATGAAAGGGCCCAGCATCGTTGAGGAAGTCGATCACTGCTGCCAGAATTGATGGTTCGTTGCCGAGAGCATCGCGAATGCTGGCCGGAGTACCGTAGAGTTGCCAAAGGTTCTCAAATTGCGGAAGGGAGTTCCTCCAAAGTTGTGGAACACCTTGGTGTGCCCCGTCCTCAGCCACAATGCTACCTTCTGGTCTGTATGACTGCATTTCCTGTTCCTATTTGTCAGTGGTCCCCTTAACTTTTGAATGGTCAGCGACCGAGACTATGACCCTTTGATCTTCCATGCATCGCATATTGAAGTGACGATCCAGCGTTCTTTAGCGGTACTTTACTAGAGTAGCGGGGGCCCAAGGGTTCCGCCTCGGCCAGGCTGTCCGCGCTTTCGATACCAGGCACTTCGCAATGGCCCCCTGGCGTATACTGTTCTGGCAGGCGCATAACGGATCACACTTTGGACCCATGGATGTACTGAGGCCTCGGACTGGAGAGTCTGGATAGCACTGTGCGGATCCGTAAGTACCAGCACTGGATGGGCGGACGGAGTGGTTGCCACAATGTGACTTCAGCCAAAAATACCGAGCATTGCGGGGCTAGGCTGCTACCAACCGCTTCACTTGGGCTGGAAACGCTGATACCTACATCTGTTCGAGACCGCGACCCGTCGGTGTAACGGTGCGTGTGGTTAGGGTAGATTGAATGCTCTGAAATTTTCCTTGATCCGGTTGTCGATTTGAACTTGGGGTAGTTGCCAACTTCTTTTTCCGAGACAGTGACGATTGCGGAGGATTCTTTTCTCCTCCTCGTGGGAAAATATCCTGTCAGCGTCCTTGGTTTTAGCGAAGAAGGAAGCGGCTTTGTTGGCAAAAGCTACGTATGTACGGAACCGGAAAGGAAGTACTCCCGCTTCGATGCAGGCTGCATCGGTGGGCGTCGACGGGAGAAGACCGGGGGTTTGACCCAATTTTCAGCATCTGAACAGGTGAGCTCGATGCCGTAGAGCAGGCGACTATCGATGATCGCCCAGATCACTTTGAATCGAATGTTGTGGTTGTTGGATCGGTGCTTCCGAGAGATTGTCCGCACCATGTTTAATCTACTACGACAGGTGAACTTGACAGCTTGTAAGTGTGGCTCGAAGCTGAGCTTGCGGTCAAGGAGGACGCCCAGGAACTGCAGTGTTTTCCGCAGCGGGATGGCAGTGTCGTTGATTGTGATCGGTGGTCCGGTCTCCCGATGTTGAGAGGAGCATACATGGCACCTGACGCTCTACACGGCGGATAGCTGGAAGCCGGTCGTATGGGCCCATCTGGCAACAGCTGAGACGGCAGCGTGTGCCCTCATCCGTATACGGGTTGGAGTTCAGCCAAGGGAAACCACCAAGTCGATTGAAAACTCCGTTCATAGCGATCTAAAACAGCGTCACAGCAATGACCGACCCTTGGGGAACACCCGTTTCCTCGCAGAAAGGCCGGGACCGCGGCACGACAAGACTCTCCTTCCACCTGTCCGGGAACACAACATTCAGTCAAAGCTGGTTGGAAAGCTGCAACAGTTTGACCTTGCCTGGAACGGGCAAGTGGGCCAGGAATAGGTAGCCAACCTCGTCCGGTTCGGCAGATTTGCCCGTGCTTCGACTTAGCGCAAAAAACTAGTAACTTGGTTGCATCAGCAAAAAAATATGCTCCATGAAAAGTTCTAAAAGTTTCTAGAAATATAAGGCTTTCCAAAAAATCATTGTATAGAAGTAAATTTTGAAAATCCAGTTTCAAAGGGTCACCCTTCTTTTTCTTCTTAGTATTCTAGGCTTTTGCTTCGGTAGTGAGCGTTTTGCCGTTTCTCAACTTAGTGTTCTAGATGTACTTCCACAGTTTTTAATTGAGAGCTTTCTATGGCAATTGATGCATTATTTTTTTTTTATTATTATGTGGCAAGCACAATAATGCTCTATGTCCAGGGAAGTCGAAAATATTTACACCGAAAGATTTCTTTGACTGGACCGGGAATCAATCCAGCTGCCTCCAGCTTGGTAATACCGTGCCTTTTCTGAATAGGCTTTCAGAGGGTTGTATGACAAAAGTTCGAAGGGTCAAAAGGTCAAATTAAAAACATAATAGGACAAAGGACAAAGGTTGAAGGGGCAAAGGGTCGAAAGGACAAATGGTCGAAGGAATAAAAAGGTAAAAACGCAGTATACTGCGGTCGGCAGGCAATTGATCATTATGTCAAGCTTCTGCATTCATGTTCCATCAGATGTCACAGCGGTTGTTTGCGGTGACATCTATCGGAAACTAGACACAATCTGTTTTCCTATAATTGTTCACAGAGGACACTGCAGTGCAAAACATGTATGGTACCTTTATGTATGCATTTAGATTATAATCCGAAGGAGACAGAGGTACCAGACATGTTTTGTAGTTGGAGGCGAACCAGCCCCAGGCTGAAAGCCTCCCTAATAAAGTTAAATCAATCAATCAATGTTTTGTAGTGTCAGGTACTCTATTTTGTAATCTGTGAAAGGGAAATCTCAAATCGAGTGTCAACAAAATACATGGCATGTTGAGAGATTGAGCTCGTGAGAGAGAATTACTCTCTCAAATTTGAATTTTTTTGGCTCTCTGGAGACTGGTAGTAAAGCAGGTAAAATTGTATGAAGAAAAATCATTTTTATTTAATTGTAGCTTGTTTAGCATTAATTTCCGGGAAAAAAACTGAACGACAAAGCCCCTGACTAATTTCTTTAGGTTGTCGTTCACTTTTTTTGACCTGAGTATGCACCGAAAGCGAATTATTCTCACTTCTCTCAATTTCCATATGGGGATTTTTATCACTTCCTACCAGCGGAACAGCGCCATCTCTGTGAAAAATGGTCGAACAAAATGATTAATTCAAACTGAGACGCAATATGAGGCATTTATCAGAAATTTTTATGTAATTTATCTCTTTTAAAGATGATTCTTTCTGTTTAACATGAGCACTTCTTAGACAGAAAACAGCTTTTGAATAATCCAACTCAAAAACACTCGTAATTCTTTTCTCACTCTTGGAGATTACGCTTGAAGAGCTTCTAGAATCGTAATAGTAGGCTAATACACTACAGTTCTGTAGGTCGATCTCTCCCTATCTCGATGGTCCCTTCAATATCGAGAAATGAAAAGCCGACTGTAGTTTCATTTTCAATTTTTTTTCGTTCTATCAAATGTTAGCCTGCAGCACTTTGAGCTTTTAGTACCGTATTAAATATTCCGTCAACTTAGCAACATAATAAATAGAGTTAACTACCACATTTCCGGCCTATTAAGCACAACCCGCTCTTAGTCGTTATTAATCTAGCGCAGTTTAGCACCAAACGGAATGTTATTATCACTGATGGCTTCCAAATGTATTTACTTTTCCGTACGTACCGTAAGATTTGATAAAGAGAAGCAAATTATTGAGATATTGTTGAAAGTCTAACACTGCTTCTTGACACCAAACTCGGCCTACGGATTCTAAACTCGGCCTACTGTATTGAAACGCCAATGAATTCACTTCGGCTTATCGGATGAAGATAAAGAATGATTCGGTCGGTGCACGTCATTTGTATTTGAGAATAGGGGGTGCAAACGTTCATATCACACGTTCTTATTGACTTTGTTCGGTAGCATTTGAACCAAAGTATCGTACCAAATGCATAATTGATCTGTTAACGCCGAAATCATGGATTTATTTGATGTTGTCTGCTTGATAGGCCCAAAATGGGCGCTTAGGCCGAAGTAGTTCTCTACCCTATGTGTGTTGAATCAGTACGGTATGGTAGGCAGTGATTATCCACTTTCAAAAGTGTCCGGATTTCGAGTCATTACAATTTTTTTGTCGCAATCATAAGTTTAACTGAAAGATTTTATTTAAATTTAATATATCTTTAATAACTACCCAGCAAACCCACCATACTCTCAGTCGCGTTTGCAAGCCGGAAGCATAAACTTCAACTTCAGTTAGTCGAAAAAGATCCACACTTCCTCCGTCCAGAAAGAAAAAAGAAATTCCTTCCATCATCCTCATGGACCTCCCTGGCGCAGAAAAACGAGCGCTCTCGAAACTTGTTTATCTTCGTGTGTTAATGGCCCTTGTTCAAACAAACCATCAACATACACTCACGCATCATGTGAAGCACAGCGCAGAGTAACATCCGCAAACTTACGTTGAAGGACATCCGCTGCCTGGATGGGTTCTTTCGTTCGTTCGTTCGTTCGTTTGTCACCATCAGGCAGCATCAGCGGGCTCCCGGAACAGACTATATCACTAATTCGGTTAAATGTTTGTTTAAGGGCCAAGTCTAGTATTTTGTAATTATATTATACGTTTATTTCTCTGTTCTCTAGTACTCGAGTGAAAGTTCCGTATTTGCCACTTCCAGCGTTACGTTCGTTGGAGGATGTTGGCATTTTTCCATTTTAGCTGTCGTCGTTAGTACTACAGCAGACGAGCGCGTCCTCCCCAGAAGTTAGTTTCTTGCTAAATCAGGAGGAACAGTTTTATTTGTCAGCTACCGGAAGTTTGCCAAAGTCCCTGAACAACCGTTCAGAATGGTCGTTGAAGCGGGCGTGAACAGAACGGGATCTCGAGCGGGTCTTATTGTGTGGCTTAATTATTCCCTTGGATGCCACTTGAGTTGGCCCCGGGGGAACTGGGAGATGACGAGTCTATCATGTGGTAATGGGAATCACACGGGAGTTCAGTTGAGGCTAGACATTTAATATATAAATCATCCGTTCAGTTTTCGAAGGATTCCTATCGTTGATGACTCGGGGATTTTTATTTACTTGCACTCAATGACCCCTCGCTAGCCTGCTGACACGGTTTGCTGTCTTATCAGCTATTTATTTTAGCCTATATAAATCTGGTACATATTTTGATTTGCTCCAACGTGTGCAGTAGGCATCAACATGCAACCGGAGTTGGGACTTTTAGTAAGGTAATTTTCGAATAGAACCAATTTTAAGCAATGTTTCACGTCGTTTAAACATTTTCCAGCCTTTTATTGGCAGTAGTAGCTGTAAGTTCGCAGAGAACGTCGCTCACCTTGAGCTGTGCCCCGCAAAGTAAACCAGGGAAATGTGTTTTACGATCAATTAAGGTACAGGAAAAGGACGTCATAGACGGTGCTACCCGTCCAACAACAGAGAAGACAGTCATTTTTGAAAACTCCCAGCTTGAATATCTTCCGGAAGTGCTGTTCAACAGATTTCCACAGTTGGAATCGCTGCACGCCAGTGGAGTTGGTTTAAAGAAGTTTGCACCGGATGCCTTTTCCAAATCACCAAACTTGAAGAACTTAGACGTGTCAGCCAATTTGGTTGGCATCCTACCGCAAGATGTGTTCGGAACATGTCAGAATCTGGAAGCGATTGACATAGCCCATAATCGATTGCATCTTTTCAATGCGATTGAACTGATTGGATGCAACAAGCTGCATCGGTTGAACGTTTCATCGAACCAATTGATTTTCATCAACTGGGAACCGCTGAATGATCTACGCCTCTTGGAACACATCGATTTGAGTAACAATCTGATCTCGTCCGTCATGGTTCCAAGGTACGCGAAAAAGATTGTAGCTCGCAACAATCACATCCACAAGCTGGCCACCGATCCGAATTCGTTCATATTCATGCTGGAGTATTTGGATGCATCACGAAACCGGTTGAACAACATCGAGACGCTCGCTCGCTTCGGCAAGATGACCTACATCGACCTCTCGTACAACCGGTTGCTGAGCGTGGATTTTGCATTGTTTAAAAATATGCGTTCGCTGAGGGAATTAAATCTTGCTCATAATAACATATTTGCGGTATCGACATCGGACGTGCAGCCCATCGCACTTAGGCTGGTAGACCTGTCAAATAACGAACTAACACGCTTATCAGTCGATGACACTCGGGGAATCTCACAGGTTGAGCAGCTCCTTCTGAATAATAATTATCTGGTGAAATTCGAAGTTACCAAAGGGCAGAATCTTTTTCCTAGACTGCAGTCGATTACGCTGAGCGGTAATGATTGGGCCTGTCCGGACATGGAGGCGATGTTGGTGGAGTTTGGTTCAAAGAAAGTTACTGTGAAATCCACTGACGAGAATTGCGCAACTCACCTGGTGAAGAAGAGAGGGCTGTGTTGTCGAGATCTGGGTACGTCTTTTGATGAGCTGGTTTTGTTAGAATCGCAAAAATTATCCGAGATGCAACAAAGATCTCCTGTCAGAATGGATGTGACATCGACTATCAAGCCAATTATGGCAGATCAGAAGCAAGCCCCACGGATCGAGACCCCTGTGACAGTATCATCCAAACAACCAACAAATCAGTACTCTGGAGAAATTGAACAGCTTTCGAAATCTTTGCGGGAAACGATGAGTCGCCTAGTTGTCGTGGAAGCCGATCTCAAAACTTCAAATAGCGAAAAATCCACTTTGAAAACTTCTCTTGACAGAGCTCAGGCTGAAGTCAAAGCTCTGAACGAGAAGCTGGCACGCTGCAAATCCACTGTTAATCAACGCACCGGGCAAACAGTGCTCATCGATTAGTGAACTTAAGGGTGAAATGTTCTCGAAACTCAAGAGGCGAATCACATTAAACCATTGCTACAAAACTTCCAACTTGTTATTAGTTTGTTCATCACCGCCCTTTTTCGATGTAGATATACCCTAATATAGACATAGTTGTTTAGTCGCAGTAAAAGTAACGGTGTTGTGCCATAATTATTCCCAACTTCCACTCTGAGACGAGCGTCTGCCATCTTCGAATCGTAACCGGACCCAAACACGGCACGGGTGCAGGAGGCAGAGCGGTAAGTGGTATAATTCTCACTTTCACAGCTGTCTGGTACACCATCCGGAGCGAGGCAACCCAACCGGCATAATAAAATAATCAAAATAGGAAATAAAATTTTATTCGCGCGTTTTTGTGCTTACGATCTGTGGGGATTGTCATTTCGGTCCGACCCGGTCGGAACAGGGTTGACAATGAATGCGCTATCTAGTCATAAATCACCTCCAACTCATGTTGCCCAAAATTAACAAAAAATGAAAGCTAGGAACCTTTTTATTCAATTATGAAACGCTGTCAATATTGGCAACACTGCCAATTGGAAACCGTGTTAATTACAACGTCGCCCGTGACACCCACACCAGTTGTTGTGGAGGCATCTGATGATGGAAATAAAACGGAAGAGATTTCGAGCACATTTCAAGACAGCTAAATTTCTGCTTCGTTTCGTGCTTGATGGGTCCTTACTTTAATAACGATAATTATTAAGCAGCCAATTGTTTGTGTCTTGGAATGGAAACGGCTCAATTTATTGCACGATGTGAAAGCATCCAGCCAATTGAGAGGTGGGTGAACGCCGCTCTGGCAGGGCTTTCAATTATGTTGAATACTGTGCGTTGTAGTTAGCTCATGGTATTGGTTGTGTTTATAATTTTGAAACTACATATAGCAATTGAGTAAATCGTTACCCACACCTGTTGGGATACAAATTTGTGAATTTCAAGTATTGACGTAGACTACGTCTTACGGTAAGGTATTGGGGGGTAAATCGAAAATCTAGAATTGTGACCGTCACGAAAAGGTGTAAGGTTTTGAACCCTTATAACTTTGTCATTTAAAGATGAAATTAAAATCAAAATACACCAATCGATGGGAAATAACTCTCACAATCTGCTAAATGCTTTTCCTTTTATTTTTTTTTCAATCGTAGGTAAATATACAAATAAAAAGTGATAATTTTATCCCTGTCGCAATGAAACAAACGTTCTCCCCAAACCAAGTCGTCATAATAGAGGACCATTTGGTTGCGCATCGTTTTGCTTGAACCTGTTAAACAATATAAGAGATCTGCTGTCGTTCCTCCGCTCATGGAAGATTTGTATCAATGCAGCTAAAACACATACCATTCTGTTTCCACTCTCGAATTCACCTCGGCTTGTTCCACCTGCTAACGTCAAGATCCATCTTGATAACACTTCCACTCATTAAAGCTTAGGACAGCGTGCCAAGCAGAAGCAGGAGCAAATCATGAAAAGTAGATTTTTTTCCTCTGCCTCTACTGAACATTACCACAGTCGGGCTAGAGTGCTGCTGTAGTGAATCCGCTCATTTTTGACGTAGGACTACGTCTTCAATTTCTATATGGGGGTACACTTTTTGAAAACCAAAAATGGAACATGAAACAAAATTATGAAAGATTTTGAACATTAATAACACAGCTGCCCCTGGACCAATTTCAATAATTTTATCACCAATCGATCAGAAATATTTCTACAATGCTTTCGATTTGATTTATAACAATAAACTATTGAAAAAATGCTAATGTTATGCATCATCCAATGAACAAATTATAAGTCATAATTTTATCACTGGTTTATTTATTATTTATTTATTTGTTGTTTGATCTTCGATAAAAAAATAAAAATCGTAAAGACTACTTTACCTAATATTCTTAATCCTATTTTTAAAAGTACTTTTGCTAATCACAAAATCCAAATCCTCGTTAGTATCGTTAAAAGCTCGCAGACAAGCGTCGAATGGATTGTTGAAACCGTAACCAGTCCGGTGAGCCGGCACAGCGACAAGTTGTGAGCTTCTCAACTGTCGGGGTGGAACGTATAGAGGGACATCCTGTAGTAGTTGAGGACAATCATTGTTGCCACGCAGTAAGTCGAAAATAACTAGTTGCTGAATGTTTGTGCGCCTAGCACGTAAGGTTTCCAAATCAATCAGCATACAGCGTGCAGTGTAGTCAGGCAGATTTAGCGGGTCGTTCCATGGAAGGTTGCGCAGCGCGAATCGAATGAAACCCTTCTGAATTCTTTCGACTCTGATCACGTGATAAGGTGTCCAGACAGAGGCCGCGTATTCCAGGATGCTACGTACCAAAGAACAGAACAATGTTTTTTGTGCAAATATATCTGTAAACTGCCACGTATAGCGTCGAATGCATCCAAGAACCGTAGAAGCTTTAGCCGTGACAAGTGCAACATGTTCGTTGAATCAAGTTCGAGTCAATAGTAACACCAAGATCACAAATTGAGGTAACACGCTCTAATGACACGGATCCAATTGTGTATTGGTGGTTGACGGTGGTGCTCCGACGGGAAAACGATATCACCTTGCATTTTCCTATGTTGACACTCATACCATTTTCTTGGCACCATAGGAGTAACCCATTTATGTCATTTTGCAGGGCGAGGCAGTCGAGTACGGTCGCGATGACTCTGAACATCTTCAGGTCGTCGGCGAACATTTGCTTAAATGAAGAAATCTGAAGGCACAGATCGTTGACGAAAAGGACAAACAGCATTGGGCCGAGCACACTTCCTTGCGGTATTCCCGGAGTAATTGCAAAGGCCTTCGAGCGTGCAGAATTGATCGAAACGAAGGAATGGCGGTCGGTCAAGTAAGAGAGAATCCAATCAAGTTTTTGAATCAACTAACCAAGTAGGGAATCCAATAGCTCTTAATTTTTCAGTAGCGTACACGTGTGGAACTGTGTCAAATGCTTTTGAAAAGTCGATGTAAATGGAGTCCACCTGTCGCCGGGCTTCAACCTCTCGAAACAGAGTATTAGTGTAGCACACCAAATTTGTAGTAGTAGAGCGGTGCTGGACAAACCTATGCTGGAACTCCGATATTTTAGGATAAACCACATTGTACAGAGCATTGTGCACTAAGGTTTCAAAGACCTTGCTAATATTCCACGGTAGTTTTCAGCTCGGTTTCGATTACCCGCTTTATGGATTGGCACAATTGAAGCTGTCTTCCAATCATTGGGAAATGATCTTTCGCTCAGCGAACGGTTGAATATGCAGGAGATCGGAGAAGCGAGTGAGCGTGCGCAATATTTGAGCAGAGATGGGGGAATACCATCTACCCCAGGGCCTTTAGAAACATCGAGGTCATTCAAGGCTTTCATAACGTTGTCCGGTGAGAAGCGCAACGTTGGGATATTCAGGTTGTACTCGTGGATGCGATCGAAACTTGAAGGATTTAGAGGTGGTGAATTTGCGTTGTAAACTGATTGGAAGAAGCTCGCAAACAAGTTAGCAACATCGACATCAGGAATACGATTACCAGACCGTTGGGATTTCACGAACTTCCAAAACGCCGATGGATGCTGCTTCAGATTTGCTTGCGTTCGCTGGACGAACAGTCCGTTGTACCTCGTTTCGATTAATCGGAGACTACTTTTGTTCTCGTTGGTTCTGGTACTGAAATAGCATTTGCGCGACTTACGCAATTACGTAGCTCAGGGCAACGTTCCGCAAATTACGTAGCTCAGGGCTCCACCAGGGTTGCACTGAGGTTAACCTCGTAACACGCCTCCGGAGAGGAACTCACGCATAGATTGTTTCATACAGATTGTCGTAGAATTGGTCAGCAATAGCGTTGTCAGAAACACTATCCAGAATCTGTTGCCAATTGATAGTGGACAGTTCATTATTCAACGAGCCGAAATCGCAGTGCCTGAAATCCAATTCAGGTGGATACGAATCACAGTCCGATATCATGGGCGGATTGCAGTCGGCATCAAGTCGTAAGATGAATGGCTTATGATGATGATCGATATCCAGTAGAGGGACCGGATGCTCAAGATGGTTAACGTTATCCGGATCACTGATGAAGGCTAAGTCAAGCAGTCTTCCATTCAAATTAGAGAGTGAATTGACTTGGATTAGCCCACTAGCGAGCATCGGTTCAGTGAGAGCCAGTTTCTGTTCAGTGGACGCGTTTGATGGCAAATAACCGTTCACGTCCTCGTCGAAAGTCCAACTCAGAAACGGAAGGTTGTAGTCGCCCATTGCCAAGATGATATCGGCGTTCAAAGATCTCTCAAAGATAGTCTGTTGTGCAGTAGTGTGAGACGTGTATTAATCCGGGCTGGAGAGAGGACGGAGATAGATTCCGGTGCGAGCGGTGCTGCAGAGTGAGGCGCACAGCCACTTGCTCCAGACGGTCGCAATTCTCGAGCGAAACTGATGTGCATGAATGCTTGGATTTTATCGCAATAAGTACACCGCCGCCTCTGGAAAGCTGACTGGTAGCTCGATTACGGTCGCAGCGGAAGAAATGATAATCTGACGATAGCTCACAGTCGTGAATGTCCGCTCGAAGCCAGGTTTCGGTGAGAACCAGAACGTCGTAGTCGCATGTTGAAAGCATTAAGCCGATTTTGAACGAGATAAATGACAAATCCGAAATGTCCTTACCCTTTGGTACGAGTTTCACCACATCAGGCTCCGTGATGATTTCCAGACATTCCTTGGCCATCGCTGAGATTACATCGTTGGTTGTGTCGGGACGGATGCGTGACAAATAAAGCCAGAATTTGTCCTTGTCAGCCGAAGGGTTTTGATTCGTGACCGTGACAATGTTCTTGGTAGTTTCCTTGGAACCGTATTGAGCTGGTGTGATAGGCGTGTGACGTACTCTTGGAACTTGAGGGGGCTGGAGAGCAGGTTTTGGTGGAATTGGTAGTACAGGTGGAGCGGCGGGCATAGTTGAAAGCTGCCTAATTTTGACACGCAGAACGTTGATTGCCTCCGACAACGATGCGAGTGGGGAAGGCTCATGAGGACGTGATATTGAACGAAA